TCTAAAACAAAATGGACAGATGGCTTCCAATCCTGCATGCTAATCCACCAACACACAGACTGCACCTACCGCAAGACTGCCGTGACCTTAAATGCATGCCACACATGGGACCACGGTGCGTAAACTGCCAGCGTGAGCTCCAGAGCGACATACGTCCACCTGAACAATGGCAGCAGAACTGGGCCAAATTGAGTCGTCAACAGATGGAGATTTCCTTCTCTGTGTTCTGTGTGTCCAACTATCAGATTTCAGGCAGCAGTGGTTAGCGGGCCACAGGCCAGGACGAGGCTCTACTGCTTTTGTTAGCCGTGGTGAGGTAAGAGAAGTCGCGTGTGTTGGGTTACACTGACGAGTGGAAAACGTAGGAAGGCCCAGAACAGAGGGCTAATACTCATGGAGACAATCAGACTGGCGTGATGGAAAAAGAAACGGCTCGCATTGTTCCAGTGTGCAAATTAGGAACACGTTTTCTGTGATGGATGCAAAACATTTGGGAGCTGATTTATGCAGACAAATAAGGCTTTTATTATCGTTCCACAACCCAGCGCAAATAAAAACACATCAAAACAAATGGTAAGCTGAAGTACAATTATTTGAGCTGGTTCGAAATAAAGTACTATCAGGTTCCACATTACCTTTCAAAGCACACACAAAATAATTAGGATAAACTGAAACGAGTTAAACAAGCGGTACATGGATGTCCCCCGTCACTGAGAGACTTGAAAAGTGAATGTTTGTAGATTTTGAGATGTGTTTTTTCTGAACTGGAATTGAACAGGGAATGAAAGTAAACCTTAATGTTTTTGAGTGGAGGGAGCAATTTTACCCACAATCAGGTGCAATGGTGGAGCCAGGGGGTGGCCAATGGTGGCCTTGGCCACCATAGATTAATCTTTGGCCACCCCAATCATTTGAGGAAAATATACAATTAATCAATATGAAAACTAGAATGCACAGTTTCCTATTTCCTATAGTACATATGGTGGTGGCCATCTTGGATTTTGACATTGCAACCCAATGGGGTAGAGGTAGGACAGCCAACTGGAGACCAGAAAGTCTTGGTTCGACTCCCAGCCATTCCCACATGTTGTGGTGTCTCTCTGAGCAAGACACCTAATCTCTAATTGCTCCCCGGGTGCTTACATAACAGCCCACTACTCCACCTGGGTGTATCTCAGGTGTGATGGGTTAAATGCAGAGAACTAATTTTGCCGTTGTATGAGAACATACAATGATGACAATCTCAGACTTCCCTTCTTACGCCCATCTAGGCACACACCAAAATGGAGGCTAGCACGGTAGCACCTCACTTATTTTTCAAGTTATCACAATTAACCTTTATTTTACCAGATAGTTCAATTGAGAACCAGTTCTCATTTACAAAGACAACCTGATTGTGCTCACCTGGTAGGACGGATGGACAAAGGGTACTTCCAGTTCCACCTCTTTGCTCAGCGATGGGAGATGATAAAATGCACAACCTATTTAAAGTTTGAAAAAAGTTAAGCCAGGTCCTCTGGGCAGGTTCAAAAAACAAAAAATCAGGACCATCAGCCTAACAATGGATCATTAGCACACTGATGGCTGTTTACTGTTCACAGAGGGCTGAGTGATACTAGCAATCACAGCATTGTAAGAGGGGGACAGTTGAACCCGGAGGCCTCCACTCCTGTTTAATGATGGACGATTTCTTCTCACAAAGATGGCCTCCTTTACTCCTCTCTCAAACCATCGTTCCTCTCTATCCAGGATGTGAACATCTTCATCCCTGAAAGAGTGACCTCTGGCCTGGAGATGAGTGTAGACCTCAGAGTCTTGGCCTGATGATGTTGATCTTCTGTGCTGTGTTCTCCATTGTTAGGCTGATGGTCCTTCTTGATTATGTGAACAGCTAACAAAGTTCATGCTCAATCATCCAGGTACCAAATCCAATAATTCTCAGTCAGGTCATCTGGACAGTTTTTTTTTTTTATAGAGACTGACCTGACTGAGAATTATTGGATTTGGTACTTGGATGATTGAGCATGAACTTTGTTGCCTTGAACCACTTTGGCTGTGGCTGCCTGCCTGGGAGGAGTTGAGGGGAGACAGGACGGCCCCCAGAAACCATCTTAGCTCCAGCAAACTGGTTGGTCCACTTAAGGAGTTTACTGCTTGGTGGGGAAAGTTTACTGGAACTCCTCAGACTGATGAAGCCCTCAGGATAGAGGGCGAAACGTCTCTATAAAAAGAAACTGTCCAGATGACCAGACTGAGAATTATTGGATGTGAACAGCTAGTTTTGAATGTCAACAACAAACTGGTTGATCCAATATGAGAAGGTGCTATTTAAAAGGCTGCGCTGAATACAGCTCCTCAGACTGAAGAAGTCTTTCGGATGAAAAACAAACGTTTCTACATTTTTTTGTTGTTTTTGTTTTTTGAACCTGTCCAGAGGACCAGACTTAACTTTTTTTTTTTTTTAGATTTTTCTGCCTAGATTAGTGAGCACGCATCAGGAAACATTTTAAAAGCTTTTTCTTGAAGTACAAACAAGAATTATGTGATAATTGACTAATTTATTTTCACTGTATTCTTCTTTAGTTTTGGATTCAAATAAACCTTTGGTCTTTCAAAAAATAAAATTAAAGTTAAACAAGCTGGAACTGCATTTGCACGAAAACCCAAACCCTAAAGAGCTGCCTGCACCGCTCACATTTACACAACAAACACTATGGCTTTTAGTTTAGCTACACAAAACACATACACACAAGACAAGTTGGGTTTTGAACATTTTACATTTCCTTCAAAGCTCATGTGAGAGGAACATTAATCTGCTCAACAACAACACTGTTTTAGATGACAAACAACATTAATCAATACAAAAATGTGAAACACTTGAACACTGGATGCCAATGTGATGAACATTTGTGCATAAAGGTGTGATGAAAATATGTGGCATATGGAGCAAGTGTGAAGCTTAGCAGGAGGACAGCGACTGAGACTGATTATCCAGCACAGGTTTCACAGATCCCCCTAACAGCAGGAAGCTTAAACACTGAATACTTCTGCTCTCATGGTATATCACAATTTCTCAGAGCAGTTGTTTGTCTGCCATCTGATTGTGACACTGCATGAGATTACTGCTGTAACCATGGTTTCCTTCCTGTCAATCTCAGAGCTGGGTAATATGAAACTAAATATTTAAGGCTTTCCGTGTATTTAAATGGGACAGGAGTGTAACATTCTCATGTTACATTGATTGGATGTGTATTTTTATTCAGACAGAGTGTTTGGAGGGCAAAGCGTTGGCTGCTCTGACAGATAAATTAGTAATAAATGGGCAGGCTTTCGTCTTGTCTGCATCAATATAGCAAGCCAATGTTCAAAGGGAGTAGCACCTTCGTTAACCCATCCCCCAACCCCTCTCTACCATCACGTCTCCCTCCCTCAGTCGCTGACATGACTCCCTAACATCCCTCCTTCACACCAGACAACAGGTCTCCCATCAGGCCTTGCTTCCACCAGGATGACTGCGCTTCCTGGGCGAGGTATATCCCCGCTCCCTCTACGCCGGCGCTGACACCATAACTGCAACAAGCAGAGGCAAAAGATCATCCTGCGCTGCAGTCGGTTCCTCCGTTCTCCTCTAACCAATGAAGGCCATGGAAGAGACAGATCAGCTCAGCTTTCACAGAAACAGCCCCCCCCCCCCACCCCCACTCTGATCCCCCAATGAAGTCAGGTGACCAGATGTTGTATAGCTCCCTGTCACTACAGCCGCCATGAAGCTGCCACACGCCGACGTGTTGAAGCCGGGACACGAAGGCGTTTCTTCCCACTCTGAGGAGGGCCATACGTGAGGCGGTGCAGTGATAACAAAAGAACATCCGTCAGCATATTAAACATCCATCAACCCCCCCACCCCCACCCCCAGTCACAGCATCTCACCCATCCAGCGGCTCCAGCTTTACAGCCCCAAAATAGTGTTACTTCTTTTTTGTATGAGTGTTGCCTCTGCAGCTGCTGCATTTCTCCAGAGCTGCCAAGGCTCGTACAAATGTCACCAACAGCCCCCCCTCCAATAAGGATGTTATTTGTGTGGCACAAGGGAGTGTGTACTGGCATGATGTGATTGTATAAGATGATATGAACCCCATCCAGCCCCCTCTGATGCAGGCACCCATTTCCATCAGGCCCTGGGAGAGGAGACAGACTGCCGATGAAACAGCTGCCTCCTTAGCAGGGCAGAATGCAGAGTGCAAGAGGAAAAAGGCTACAAAGCACCCCTACATACACAGCCTCACCCCTCCTCCTCTTCTCTGCCTCCCCCTCTCACCATCCCTTATTGCTTTACACAGAGAGAAGGATTTACCTGAAATATGTCTTCACATTCTCCTGCTCAGTGTTACGCCGTTGGGCCCGGAGTCCAGATGGATTCATCGTCAGCCGTAGAGTCCTAGAGACGGTTTACAGGCAGGACTGCCATTCTCTCGTCAGACCAGTTCCTGACCCTAAAAGCAAGCTTGTTCGGCAGGCTGGATGCTTCACTGGCTGCTCACTGTTCCCTAGCCCATGATGTCATCCACCCGGCCTCCCTGATTGGCTGAGGGGCTGAATATTAATGCAGGCAGCAGGTCCAGGGGAGGAGGCAGCCAAAGGGCAGACTCAGTTGGTTTTCTGTTTAACAGACCAAACCTGGAGAGTGAGAGGCAGGCGAGAAGGAAATGAGTGCTGCTCAGGAGTTAATCTAAAAACAAGTATTGTGGAGGCTGGGACCATCTGAGAATAATTTATTTAAAAAATTCAGAAACTCATGCTGCTACATGATCATTTTATACAGCGGTCATTTTATTTACATTTATGAACAAGTACTCGGGTTTTGTTTATTTTTGTTAACACGTAATGAACTGAAACTATACTTTACTCAAACGTGTTAGCAGGAAAATTAAAAGTCTCTGTGACAAATATGAATGCAGTTTTTAAAAGATAACATTAGTAACCTATTGGAATAAAGAATAAACAACTAAATAATAAAGAAACCTTATCCTTATTGCAAAAAATAAAAATATTCACGCTGCTGAGATGAACGGTGGTTGAGATATTTTCATGCACAATAACAGGAAGTGATGTCAAAGGGGAACACCTGCATGTAAACAAAGCAGTGCAACAATGGCTAACACTAGTGAAAAATCTGATGTTTCTTCATCAGCGATGAAGAAAAGTCAGAGTCCAAATCATATTTCAATACACAAAGACCAGGTGATGTCACTTCCTGTTTTACTTTGGCTGCACCAAGTTCAGAAGAAAATATGTCAGTTATGTGACAAAATGGATAAAATTGTGTGCATTATGTCAAATGTATTAAATATAAAGATGTTTTCTTCCACTTTTTGTATTTGTAGGATACGCATGTCACAGACAATTTAATTATGTTCATTAAATTATTTTTAGCAGCTTCCGTTCAACTAAAAACACAAATTAAACAAACCATGGTATAAAAATAAATTTCACATTTTAAATTAAGGCATGCTTAGTTTTAGCTTTTTAATTTGCAGCCAGTGCAACTACAAGTCCACAGGTTTCCTATTTTACTTGCTTGTTTATTTATTTACTCACATCTTTAATTACTTTTAATAATGCTTTTTCTACATTTGTATTTGCAGAATGCTTTACTTTACGGCATAAAGATGGCGCTCGATTTAAAAGCAGGCGGACATGACAACCAAAATCCTCTCCGCATTTACCTACATTTGCCTATGATGTCATCTTTTTCCTCTGTCACACCTGCGATTGGCTGGCTGCACCAGCAGCTGCTCGGTCTCACAGCTAAGGCTTCTAGCTCAAGGTGGAGGCCGACGAGGCTCCCTGAATCATGGCTGGTTGTCCTGACAACCCCGTCATGTCCATTCCTTGGTGGAGAGGAATATGGCTGTTCTGTGACGGCGTTGACTCAAATGGAGAACGTACATTACAAGATTACGATGTCCTTTATAATGCTCTTGGTGACAGTTTTTTATTGTTTTTATTTTAGGATCAACTACAATAAATTCTTCTGAGAAACTCGAGGAAAAAATAGCATTTAAATTCACAAACAGAAAGAAAGGGGAATAATCTGGAGTTCATATTCTGGAACATTCTGCTGTGAGGCCCAGTTGTATTAAAGCGATGTTTGGATCATCGTGAATGGGCTGTAAAAATCGGTCTATTTTATCTTTTTCACTTAAAATCTTCAAAAAGATTAGGACAGAATGCTAATCTGTTAGTCTTCCAATGCTTTTGATTGAATGTCACACGGAGCCAGATGTAAAAACAATAAAAATAAAAATGAACTAGTCAGCTTCGTATCAGCGATTCAAAAAAATGGACAGAAAGCCCAAAGATGTTGCTTTTAATCTACAAGTTTATGTCCAAAATAGCATAAATGTCATATTTTAATTAAAATTCTTGTCTAATTTAGGCCAATTTCAAAATACCTTGAAAGTAAAAAGCCACATTGTCAAACGGACATAATCCTTCAATCATCATTCCTGAGACTTCAATTAATTTTAGAGAAATGTCAGAAACACTGTTCTTCGGTTGTATATTAAATACAGCAGCAACTCACCATCTGTTGCTGTGAGCTGTTCGTAAACCGTGTACTCTCGCCATCTCGCTGAACTTTCCCCTCATTAAAGTAGATGAAGCCGGTCGTTTAAAAAACAGAATCTGTAGACAAACACAGACGGTCATGGCTTGGCTACTATAAGAATAACTTTTTTTTTTTCATTCAACCTTTATTTAAACAGATACATCACATTGAGCTTCAAAGACTCATTTATAAGTGAGACCTGTTTGGACAGACCAAAACAGTGGTTAACTGGACACATGTAGGAGTTAGTCCATAACTTTGTTTAAGGTAATGCTGTTGTAAACAAATGTTTACAACTAGCAGTGAAAGTTAGCATGTCTATTATTGATATGAACAGCAGAGGCTAATTAACTCATTACCAGGAGCTGTCAGGCTCCCAACATTACTTTATAAAAAAAGAGAACAGCATAATAAGCATGTTTACTTTGAACTATAACTCATTTTATTTGGTGTTTAATTTAATTTTGGGGTCTTCCACATTTATGTACATCTGTTTTTTTTGTTGCCTTTTTTAAAATCGCAATAGAGTAATGCTTACGTCACATTATATGCCTGTCAACAAACTATTATACAGCAACTAAAGGCCAGGACAAGCAAATACTTTGTATAAACTTTTACCTTAATTGTGATCTTGACCTTGAAGTTGCAGTGATCAAAGTGTGCAAGATCCTCCCTCTAATGTTGATGAATACATGTATAAAGTTTCGTTAAATTACCATGACTGGATCAGAAGTTATAGATGGGTTTTTGCTCAACATTAAACCATCGTATTATATGGTCTCATGTCTGACGCAGCGTTAAAAATGTGTGACCTGCCTTGAATGTGGACGTTAAGTAAACTCATGTAAAACCAATTATAAACAACACATTACTTCTCTTGTTTAGCCTTTGTTTTGATTGTTTAATTCAATTTAATGGGTGAAGCGAACAAAGCAGAAATCTTTCACCTGAATTAACATGATTAGTTCAGTCTGCAAACAGAGCAGGGTTTTTTTTTTTAGCTGAAAGAAACAAACTCTGATGGCTCCGATTATTAACAAGCGGTACGCTGATGTCCCCCGTCACTAAGAGATTTTAATAGTGGATGTTTGTAGTTGTGGAGATTAGTGTTTTTCTGGACTGGGATTGAACAGAGAATGCAAGTACCGTATTTTTCGGACTATAAGGCGCACCGGATTATAAGGCGCATTAAGTGAAATAAGTTCATTTTGACAAACTTCTGAGCGCTGTGTACCACGTAAAATTGGTTTGAGGTCAGTAAGCACAACCAGAATTAATACATAAGGCAGACTGGATTATAAGGTTCAATGTTGATTTTTGAGAAAATTCAAGGATTTTAAGTGTGTCGTATAGTCCAAAAAAATACGGTACACGTTAATGTATTTGCTGCAAGATATTCCAGCGGGTAGGAGTTACACTGTGGAGAAGAACAGAGGTTTGTTTTTCCGAGGCTGGACATTGGACAATCTGGGGCAGCACAGAGTGACGGAGATTAAAGGGAACAATTTTATCCACCACCAGGTGCAATGGTGGCGCCATGGGTGGCCAATGGTAGCCTTGGCCACCATAGATTATACATTTATTATTTTATTATTATACTTTGAAGCAATATAAAACTAATATGCATGGTTTCCTCAAATGATAGACGTGACCAGTTCACACCCCCACACACACACACATACATATATATATATTATTTATATAATTTTCAGAAGGAACCGTTCTTAGACTTGGATGTAGCCACACACAAAAACAGAAAGTTGGCCAGTTGCTTATATTTTAAGTTACCGTACTCACAACCTGCACGGACAGACAGATGGACCAACTCTCGACTGAAACCAGCTTGTTTTCACAGGCGTGCGTCGCAGCTTTGCCTTTTACAGCTTCTAAAAGGCTCCTTCGTTTACCAACGGCAGTTTATAATCCAAGTAAAACGTCACAAAACTACAAGAATATATGTTGTATATACAGTACATACTGGTCATTTGTTTTAATGCAGTCGATGTAAACAAAACAGCAAGATTTTCTGAATCTACACTATTAATTAATATTTTCTCTGTTCTTCTTGATGTTATTAATCGTGATGTCTTATTTTAAGGTAGCAGAGGAATATGCAATAAATCCTTTCCTAATGCTTGGCAGTTTAAGCTCAGATGAGGCACGGACAGAAACACTCGTGGATGCATTCCCGAAAAGCATCATTTACGATCCATAGACTGCTGTCAGTGATTGGGTTTATGTAATGAATCCTATAAATAACTCATTGGAGGCAGTGCACATCTCTGCTTGTGACATTTTAGTAAAAAAAAAAAAAAAGCCCTGTATGGAATTTACAAGCGTGGTGAGCAACGTTAGAAAAAAATCCTCTGGATAGCTTATATTCATTTGTCACTAATAATCTAACAAGTATCAAGGCTAAAAACAGCTGTGGATTATTTATGAATTTGTATTCTGGGTTAGCATGTTGCAAACTCTTCCATGGAAAGACATTGTTCGTTGTTGCAACATGCCTGTTACTGTATAGTAACAATAAAACAGAGAGATGTCCTTTCCTGTGAAAATGCAGTGTGAATGCTTCTTGCTAAATGATTTTTGCAGAAAGCTGCTGAAGAAGCTGAAACCAGCTGAAAAGATCTTATCTCTATAACTGTTAAAGCAAGTTGAAATTGAACAGCTGACATTTGCTGAAATCAGGACAATAAAAAGGGAAAGCAGCAGAAAAACAGAAGTGTGTGGAAAAAATGAATAGAGAAGAAATGTAGCAGAATAGGTTGAAATAGGCAGAGAGAATGAATAAGTTGGAAAAAAAATCTGAAAATAGCTAAAAAGAAACTTAAACGAGCAGAAAAAAAATAAGAAAAAAAGAAAGAAAATAGCTCCAAAGGCTAAAAAGCTCAAACTAGCAGGAGGCTGAA